CGTGCAAAAACCCTCATATGGGAAGATTGTCATGGATATTAAGGTAGGAATCTTGCAACTTGACTATCCAACTACCTCATTACCGGAATATATACTTTGTGCCTGCCCTGCTGAGGACCGAATCAGGTCTTTAGAGTTCGGCAGAGCTGTACCATCTAACCTGAAATACCACTCACCATACAAACTGATCGACTTCGTTAAGAAGCTGGGTTTATTTGACCGAGTGTGAATAGGTGTGATCCACAATAAACCCTTGCGGGTTGCGGTGGAGGGTCGAATAGACCCACTCACTTTGGACCTAACCTACAGCAGCTCACGTTATGACCGGAGGTATTCAATTTCTTCCTTATGATTTCAGTTGTAGGAATCTCTTATTCACTGGTATCTCTTTTTTGCATTGTTCACTATCGCTATTGGGATCACTACACAGGAAAAAGTCTGCGTTGTCAATGGAAATGAAAAATAATAAAAACACCAACTATCCACGGTTGCCTATTTTATTCTTTGGGAAGATTATATCAGTTGTTAGATTAATATAATATTGGCGACTCTGGATAGTTGGTGTTTCAATAATTTTGTATTTTTATCTCCATTGTATGTTGGCAATAAGGTCAAAAAAAATTACTGTCAATAATTTCATTACTGTGAACTTCACATCCATTCATTTAATTCAAAAATAAAAAAAAACTGACTTCCTCAGTGACTTCATCAGAGTTTCCATGGGAGACTATGATTTAATAAATACTGGGTTTTTCAAATAAGCTAACCAATCATTATATGATGTAAAGCTTGTATATTCACCTTGTTTTTTACCAATAGTGTTTGTCGTTCGGAATATGTTATTTTTACAAATCATGTGCCTATTCCATATGGTGACGCATCACAAGTCAATGTAATTGCATATATAGGATTGAAAGCCATTAAAATGTTTGAACCCAATAAGACTTTCTAACTAGTCTCGAAACACGTATGTTTCTCAATTCCAATACCTGCAGTAGTTTATGAAGAAGTATCAATTTCTCTGATAACTTTGGTATGAAATTTGAATAATAATGCAACAACATTAAATATGATTGTAACTGTTGAACAGTTTCTGGTTTAGGAGCTTCCAAAATAGCTTTAATTTTTTGATCAGTAGGTTCAATACCCTTTTCTGAAATTATGTGACATAAAAATATTACCTTTTTCAGAAAGAAATATCTTTTATCTGAATTGATACGAACATTATATTTTTTGAACCTATCGAACACAAGTTTTAATGTATTCTCCATTTCCTGGCGATTTTCAGCGGTTATAAGACAATCATCTAAATAACAATGCACCCCAGATATATTTCTCAGTATTTGTTCTACTACCGATTGAAATATATGCGATGCAGATTCAACACCAAATGCAAGTCGTGTATATGAGAATAAACCAGAAGGAGTATTTACCGTTAACAACCTTTCGCTTTCATCACTAACCTCAATTTGGAAATAGGCATTTCTCAAATCCACAACTGGGAACAATTTTCCCCCAGACAATGAAGCAAATATTTCGTATGGAGTAGTAAACTCGACATCCATCTCCTCTGTGGGTAAAGGATAATACTGGCTTTCAATGACTGGATTGATGGTAGACTTAAAATCTCCACAAATCCTGATTTTGCCATTAGGTTTAGGAACCATCACTATCAGACTAGCCCCTTTCAACTGCTTGTAAAATTCCTTCTTTGACTGAATTTTCGATTTTCTCTCGTACTGTATCTTTCAGGGCATACGGTATTCTGTATGGTTTACAGAATTTTAGTGTCACGTTATCTTTTACCTTTACATTCGCTACGAATCCTTTTATACATTCATTTTGATTGAACACATTCTCATACTCATTCTTCAATATCTTTATAAAATCTTCCACTTCATTGCTACAAACATTATTATTTTCCATCATTGTATCAAAACATTCAAACTTTTCTCGCCAGTTAGGCATCAGAACATTCAAGCATGATCTTCCTAACAACGAAACACCAGACTCAAAATCAATCACTTTCAATTCTAGACTCTTACTGCACCCATTTTTCATACATTTGACATCACGGCAGCTTTGAAAACCAAATCATTCACTTGACCAAATAATGTTCTAAGTTTCATATTGTCTTTAACTGTAGGAAAAAACTTTTTGAAGAATTCAATAGAAACAATAGAACTATCAGAACCTGTATGTGATTCAAGTTCAATAATTTTTCCTTCAACTGAAAGTTTAATCATGACCGGACTAGTTGAACTTCTTCAATGCCTTTGATTATGGAATAAAATACTTTTTCCTATGCATTATCTGAGTTTTCTTGCTTTGCCTTTAGGTTTTGATCTTCAAAATCACCTTCGAATTCCTCTACAAAATGGACACGATTATTGCACATGGGGGATTTTGACATATGTCCTATGGTATTGCTAGAAAAAAATTTCCATTGCATTGCAGGACATTTTGAATTATTCACATGTGATCGCAAACATCGTTTACACTTCATATTCATTGACTGCGATGGACCAATACTGACTGGACCGGAGCTTCATTGTTTGAATCTTGACCTAAAATGACTTTGACTTTGAACTTTATTCACCAAATCAATTCCTAAGATTTTGGCTTTGTTTTCAGCGAGTTCCATACTTTGAGCTATCTGTAGGCTTTACTGAATGTTAAAGTTTCCTCTGATAATAATTTTTTCTTGGCGTTTTCTGATTTGAAGCCGCAGCCTAACTTACCTCTAAGCGCATCATCTAAGAATTGCCCTAATTGACAATGTTTAGATAATTTTTTCAATTTGATTATGAACGCATTCATATCTTCAGAATACTCTTGAGTACACATATAGAACTGGAACCGTTCAGCGATAATCAGCTTTTTTGGGCAATAATGTGCTAAGAGGACGTTTTTGAGCTGCACATATGTCCTTGAACTGGGTAATTTTGGTGAAATGAGATCTTTAATAACACTGTAAGCCTCTCCACCACCCAAATAAGAAATAGAGGTACTTTCTTCTCTTCTTCCATATTACTACACAAAAATAATTACCCCATTCTCTCATTATAGCTAGATATTTCCGACTTTCCAGGTTTGAAAGGTTCAATTGATTCCATCAAAGACATTTTTATAGTTTGACTTGACTCCGCCTCAGAATATTGACCAGTTTATCCTCGTCGCTAATTATGTCATGTATTTTCGGATACAGAACAAATACTTTTAGATTAAACTTTATAACAAAGAATCATCTGAAATTTCAACTTTATTCCAGGAAACCGACAGTTTTCTCAATACTGAAGGTTTGGTACTTTTCAGCTTACCTTACATGATTATAATATATAACACCTACGAATAATATAAACGAAATATTTATTATAAGAAATGATTATTGAATAACTAAATTAGTTGGTTCCCTAAGTATATTATTAAAAGGGAACTGTTGGAAGGTAGGTTGCACTTTATCGTTCACTTGAACTATATAAGAAGACCTCATTGGAACCCGGTGCAGAGACTCTGCACGATATTTTCGAACTCTAGTCAAAGATGGTCTGTACTTGAAGAATATTTTTTAACATGTAGACATTTTCCTGAAGCCTATATCAGAAACAAGATGAGAATATATAATGAAGTTTGTGAAAGCAGTCAGATATCAACTGAGCAATGTTTCTTATGCTCTGTCAGGCTTACGAGAAACAAGCACTCATCAGTGAATGTCGATCCTTGAGAAATTAAATTTCAGCTTTTGAATTCATGAGTTGAATTTGGGAAAAGACATTGAACTGGATGAAATAAAACTTGAAACTTCTAGTTCTAGACGGAAGAAAAATATTTTCGATTATAAGTCAACCGGTGAGTCAGAAAAAAAATCATCACAAGATACATTGAAAAACATTGAAAAATATGTTTCAATATAGTTGTTGAAACTATCCGAAATAGAACCGAATCGAGATTCGGTACTTTTGGGTTTCGTGTCGATTAAATTTCATTTTATCAATGTGAGAGCAAATTGTGAAGGTCTTCAAGTTGCTTTTTCTGTATGAGACTATTATGATATTGAGGCCAAAGGGTTCAAATTCAAAATCCTTGGTTGTGAATACCTCGCATATTTGCATCATTGCATAACTCCGTCCTCTGTAATTTTGCCCTATTTGTTTAGTTCTTTGATACATTGAGTTTCCGAACCTCATATAATAATGTCAGGTTAGACAATTCCGCTTTCTGCTTCGATAAGTTTGTTGGCGGTTGAAATGGACACCGATATGTCTTGGCACAATCATCTCACTGGAATTGCAAAGGCTGCTTCTCACAAGCTTGGAACACTGTTCCGAACCAGTACGGAAGTGAGAAAAATTAAACTAATCAAATGATTTTAGTTAGCAAATTGAAAAATGAATTCCAATTTAGAATGATGGTACTTCTAATTTGCAGAATTTCTGGATATGGGATATTGAAGACAAGAAAACAACCAAGATGACAGAAAATGAAAATGCATCATCTTCTGAACTTTTTTAATGTTCCGTTGGTTATCAAATTTCAATCAGAAATTTTGATATTTTATGAAATTAATTTTTTTGAACTACACATATCCCGAAGTTCCGTGATCTAATTACAGCCTACATACGAGTACTTCTTATGGCACAAATAGACTCCCAAACTCCAAATCTCGCGAACTTTCGCAAGTTACTTGATCGGCTACTGTAATAATTTTCGAAATACTTCATTTTGATTTTTGTTATTCAAATTTTCCCAAACTTTTTTGATTTGAAACGGAGAATGAACTGAAAGAAAACTAGGAAATTCTATCACATAATTTATATACACTGTAATGTCTCATCATTTATCTTCAGAGACTAATTATTTTGTTTATCTTAGACGACGAATAATCTGGACAGGTAAATATTTTACATACACGTTAACTGTCAACTGATTTTGAATAATGAGGAAAAACCTTTTTTGAAGAGTTGCAGATAGAAAACAAACAATACTCCAGTTTGCCTTACCTGCTTCGAAAAACTAATTTCAGAAGAGTGAAAATGGCACTTCCTGCGTTATCTACACTCAGCCGCTATTCAACTTTCCCGGAATTTAGTACCTTGTACCTACGGTACATATGCATCATTTTCGAAGGCTTTTATAATGTGTCCAACACTTCACTGATCCAGATTTCATCTCAGCTATAACATGATAAGGCAATATAAATATTTATGATGTACCTAGTAATAAATAACTCCAAATAACAAACTTTATAATCCGGGAGGTAGCCTTGCATTTCATGCAATGTTTTTACGCCGATTGCTAACCATCTTTTTCAATAGATCACATGACTAATAAGGTGTAGTTCCCACTGGAGTGATACGGGACGCTGGTTCTGATCGTGTGTTAAGTTCAAATTTGGCATAAGACAGCCACACTTTGACATGTGATGTTTTTTCTAGCAGCCTTTCATAGATTTGTCTTTCATTTTCAGGTTTTCAGGTACTGTCATCATCTTTGTACCTGTAAAATCCATGAACATAACAAAGCTTTCAATATAATGTAGGTTTTGGGATCTGGACTATAGGTTCAGGAGAGGACTATTATTTAAATCAAGTTGTTCGTTGAGGACAATAGAATTGGGATTTTTCTTTGACTTGTTTATTTCCATAGATTCCAACAGATTCATCATTTTCCCTTTTTCGCATGTGTGTAAGATCTTTAAATTATCTTTATCTATTTAATGTTTCGAATTTTGAAGATGTTGGTACATTAATGATTTTTTATCCGAAATGACATGTTCGTGGTACCTTGTATCAAAATTTCTCCCAGTTTGACCTGTATATATGGCGGGGCATTCACCACATTATATTCGATATATACCAGATGTCTTCCCCTTCTCTAATTTAGGTTTGGCATTAAATAATATGTTTCCTAAATTTCCGTTGGATGTGTAGGATGTTTGTAAATTGAAGACAAAAGTGTGTTTTTGTAGTGTATCCTCAGTGAACATGAATTTCCACAAAATAAACAAGTCGTCAATCGAAGAAGTGATTATTTCTTATCTAACATGTCATGGGAATATTCTGAATCCGTAGTGGAACCATTTAGGTCTTGACATAACATCAAAATATCAGTCTGATTCAGTATGTAAATCTTGCAATTCTAACACGAATGGTAAACAGCTCACTTTTAGAAATACATCTCAATCAAACTTAGCTTACAAACTCATAAAGCAATGTATATGAATATCTCAATGATACACAATAAAGTACTGTTGATGGTGTGTATAAAAAATTTGTGAACATTCTACTTTACTATGTTGACTTAACATGCCCTAGGGTAAAAAAGTAGTGATAATGTGAACAAAAAATTCTGGGTTGATTCTGGTCTTACATAGAAGGGCAATGACCTTAGAAACTAAATAACGGAAATTAACACAACAAAAAATCGTTCTATCAAAAAAGTATTGAAAATAACAATGGCAGAGAGAAACAAGAATATATTTGGCGTGTTGTTCAGCAAAAAACTGAAAGGAAAAAGTGCCTTGCAATAAACAGTGTTTAGCTGAATGGAATTATAATAGAAAACAAGTATGAAATTAGTAATGCCTTTGCTGAGTTTTTTTCAACTAATGTAAAACATGAATTTCACNTATTCTTTTTTACTTGTTTCAGGGATTTCAAATCATTTTATATAATAGACAATGGAAGTCCGAACTAGTGAAATTCATCACGAAACATTGTCAATCACCTTCAAACTAATGTAAAACATGGTTTGACGTGTTGAATCAGCCAGTGTTTTATGATCATGTTATATATTTTTCTTGTCTAATGTGATTTTGAAGGAAAACTGATTCAATAAATGTTTGATTGATTGTAGTAAATGCTTATTTAAACAACACAACCTTAAACGACTACATAACAATGTATGTTCAGAATACTTTTTTTCAGGCCCATTATACCTGAAGATATATTCGATGCTATTAGCTCTACAGTTTCTCTACGAAGGTGATCAAAAGTATAAATCCTCATATATCTGGGATTATAGCAGACATAATAAATTTTTCAGTTGAAAAGGGATCGTTTCCTTCTGACCTCAAGATAGTTATTGTAAGTCCAATTTTCCAGAAAGGTAATCATTTATGTCTCGAATGTGCTTTATTGGCACATTCATTATTTTTGAAATAATATTCAATTATTTCTACCCTATCCTGAATAGAATAAACCATTTTTTATTTCACTCGTTAATGTACCTGATGTATTACTGTCAAGAAACTGACACAAATAAGCGTAGTAAATCAATTGTTATTCCAAAGGTACGAATGTCATCAAATAACTTCAGAAATGCTCAAAAACGTCAGACGGTGTTTCGAGAATAACTTATACTCATTTATTGCAGTTCATGACGAACACTTTGAGCATCTACTGTGAATAAAAGTAGTTTGCGATGATTGGATTATGTAGTTTTTTCAATTGTTGTTCTTTTTTCGTGAATTGTTCACATTTCCTTTTAAATAAAATGTGAATTGGAAAACGAAACAGTTGTTTTTCCTGCAATAGAGCGCCAAAATGAAAAGTTAAGTAGTGAACACTCACATGTCTGAATTCCTTATGGAATTACCTTTTCAATGCTGTATCACACTTAGTACTTTCCCTAATCAAATTGTATGAGTGAACAGGGGGTGGGGAGAGAAGTATGACAGTTGAGGTAACGATAGGATTTGTCCCCCTTGGATTTAAAATTAACGTGTTTTTGCATTATGTTCACAACATATGTGTTTTGAAGAATTTGTTCTCGGTGTCGGGTTAAATCGAACCATAATTACAAATTTCGTCCGCCATTTTGGAGCCACCATCTTAATTTTTTGCATTGAAACACCATTCATAATTTCCGAACCTGAAAACCACCACTTATCAATTTTGAATAAAATCGGACCATAATTGCAAATCTTGTCCGCCATTGTGAAGCCGCCGTCTTGTTTTTTCCCCTAGAAAAACTCCATAATGTATTGTCACCCAATTTATGTCAAATTAGCTTGCGAATGAAGTATCATAATTTTGAACAGTGTTTGTCCCGCAATAAGGCGCCAAAATCGAAAGTTGAGTAGGTAGCTAAAATTGACATGGCTGAATTCCTTATGAAATTACCTTTTTAACGATGTGTCACACTACTTTCCCAATTCAAATTGTTTGGATGATAGTCACCGAGGTGTGGAGGAAGGGGTGTGGCAGTTGAGGTTATGATAGGAAGATGTCCCCCTTGGATTACAAATCGACGTGTTTTTGCATTTTTTTCAGAACACATGTGTTTTGAAGATATTCGATCTGTTTCGTTTTCGGTGACCCGCCCTGTATAATTGATATTAACGAATCTTTGGGAATTTCCGGAACCAATTTATATTGTAATTCTCAAATCGTTTTGAGTAGCAATTATATTGCCGAGCATTATGATGAAAATATCAGTGGATATGGTAACGTGAGCGTCGAAATTTACCTCACAAACGTGTAATGAAATTTTCGTGTCAGCTTCTTCGTGAGCTGGACAAGATGAATTATGACACTAAACCGCTTTAAAATAAATGTTGTTTAATTCGTTAGATAAATTAGCTGGACTTTATTGATGGGGCCCATTTATACGATACTTCTGATCTCTCACCCTACCTCTTAACAAAAGATCGGTATCTCGATGGCGAAAAGTAACGATCGAATGTGATTATAATTTTGCGCGCATTATTTTTAGTGAACCTTTGAATGAATTTTTTGAAATATGTCCAAATGTAGACGAAACGTCTTTTAATGCATGCAGCATAAAGTAACAACATAAATAAGTATGTCGCATCTTTGTGGTGTGTTGCTATCAGTTTCATTTTGAAGTATTTTTAGTAAAACTGACATGACGAATGATCCCATTTAGATGACACATAGCTAAAGGAACTGGCGTTAGTGGATACGACGAGACTTTTTCAATATTTGATGTTTGCTTGGGAGAAATTATTAACAACTGTACAAATAAATCGACTTGCATGCAAACTTCTACCAATATTTCAAAATTTTGTTTCATTCTATTGCTTTTTCGAATCTTTCTGCCTCTTCAGAACATTCTGTAATAAATTGTTCATGCAGCAAATTTCCACGGTTTCACGGTTTATATACCTGAGTTACTTCTTCAATTATGATTACCTGAATCATATTACCTTTCTTCTACATCAATGATAATACTTTCTCAGTTTTTTAAGAAAAAAAGTTTAATAATAGTGA